CCGTGCTTCGGGCTGGTCTGCCTCCCTACCCTTGGCATGCAAGCAGGCAGACAGGCAGACAGGCCGGCGGGCAGACAAGCATGCTGCGCGTCCACCTGCATCCTGCAGCGCCCATCATTGTGAGGCGGCCATCAGGCCACTCCCGATCTGTGCGACCCTGTGTTGCGTGACTGGCAGGCATCCTGCGTCTCGGCCGGCTTTCCTCTTCTTTCTCGCGACTGCAGGGCTTCCGTGTCGAGCCGCATCGCTTCCCAATGCACACCTCACCCGATTCGGTCGACTCAAGCAAGGCGTCCAAACCATGCGACGTGTGCGCTTGCAAACTGACGCGACAGCACATCCGGCCATGTCCATGACATGGCAGGACCCTTGAGTCCTTTGGGCCCCAACGCACTTTTGCTTCAGTGCAGACCAGAGGACGAAACGAAACTCCGCGGGTGTGTGCTGCTCAGGAGCCGGCCGGCTGCCCCCAATTGGCCCCTCCCAGCACTCACGCGCTCTGACAGGCCTTTTTCTCTCTCGTCACACGCGGGAGGATTGCCGCAGCCGTAGCTTTCGATTCTGCATGGGACTGTGCAGATCAGTCGAATCTGATGAGCTGCCCTGCCAACCCCTAGCCGTCGCGTCAATGATACTCTAGGTGGACGAAGGCGGGGCGGAGAGGAGCCAAGCAGCGGCGCTGCATAAGGCCCATTGGCACGTTCGACGGGGATGCGGGTGCCCAACCCCGTGATCCAGAGAGGTCCAGACGCTGGTCCGCAAGCCGACCTCTTCTTTTGGCAGAAGGCGTGGCGGGCGGCGGACCAGCTAGCTATAGCCTCGTGACGGTTGTGAGACCGGGCTAGGAAAGGGAAAATAAATGGCCACAAAGCCTAAGACGGGTTTCGAGGCAATAGTCCCAAGTTGCGGTGTCATCGGCTATCCTCCGCCCGCGTATTGGCCCGGCACCTTCGGCGAAGGACCATCTGAGACGCAAGGGTTCGCGTGACTTTTGCGGCCATGAACCGTGCCGTCGAGAACAAGGCGAATGGTTCCCTCCGACGATGAGACGGCGGTTGGCGCCTCGCTCACGCACCTACGGTAGACGGTCCGGAGATGCCAACATCTAGCCCTCGCCATAAGACCCCGCCAAGGGGGGGGGGGTGGTGCTGTCAAGATTCATGCTGTGACAAAGCGTCCATCGCTCCCGTCTGGGAGTAGGTGTGTAGGTAGGGAGGTAGGCACCGACTGCGTGCCTCGGCTCCCATTAAACTTTATGACCATCGACGGTGATTCTTTTTCAAGTGTGGGTAAGAATCCAAGAACATCGTCCATATCGAGATTCAGGTACGATGCCATGTGTGAAGCGAGAACGAGTGCGGCAAGCGGCCACAAGGCGATATCACTCGGCGGTATGAGCCAAATGACCTGATACAGATGCCCTGGTCCTTCCGTCGCTTTGACAGATTTCACATTTGACAAGTATATCTCGTCAATCGCGCATCGTGGAACCCCCAAGGGAGGGCACACGAACGGGTACGATTATTTTGACAGCCGGGTGCCAACATGCCAACGACCATCCACTCGCCATGTTGCAGTGTTGCATCAGAATATGCATGGACACATCGCACAAAGGCATCGGCGATTTCGGGGCCTTTTCCTCCTCGTTTTACTTTTTTTCTTCTTAATTTTTCTTTGGGCGTACGCTCGTGTTCATTGCCATGGCATCTGCCTGACAACACCGCTGCGGTGGTATGTGTATGTACTAAGTACGACACGGCTCATGAAGCCCGTGTCGTGTTGCACGCCACGCACAGGTCAGACGTCCTGTCCAGTTGCGTTTTTCCGCGCGCATACTCACAACGACCGCACCAAAGCAGCTGCGTCTCGTGGGGGGATGGGCATATGGACGTATGGCCTCACCAGCCAATCGACCACCCACCACCGAAGGCTGTCAACGGCAAGACGCTGGTCATGATGAGGTCAGCTCATGTGTCCTTGATGTCAGTTACGTGCCCATTCATGCCAGGCATCACAGGAGCTTGCTTGACCACGCAGTCCTCACCATTACGTATAGCGACTATTATTAGTCACTTCCGATATTAGGGATTCCGTTCATCAGCTTTGCTTCGCCCGGAAAACACCACCAAGAAGGGGAATGTGGGAATGAAGGGGTCCGCTCGACAAGGGTGAACAGGGGGTGAGGTAGGCGCGCGGGTTGTATCTCAACAGGCTGCTGACTTGACCGCTTCTTGATGCCGGGGGAATGCCAGAGAGAACAATACGTAGTGTTAGTTCAAAGACAGCATGGCCTGGCCATGATCTGCCTGGGCTGTGGCCCGGAGACTCGGTAGCGGTGTTGGCCCGCAGCACCCTCCTGGTACTGTACCTAGTCTCCTCCCTAGCGAGAACGCAACTGTTGACGAGCGATGCGCTCAAAATTTTGATGAGCAACAAAGATTTCCGGACACTACCGAGACAGGGGTTCCATTTTTGGGGAGACTGCACATGGGCAGGGTTCCGGCAACC